TAAGTCATTTCAACCTTTATATATGATATAACCTGCATTCTCAAAGGACATAACACATACTATACCAAATTTAATTATCATATTTTTCCCTTAAAATTCGTGGAAAAAGGGTGACCAAGCATCGATAGTTGGAGGAGCCATCAAGTATGTAAAGGAGCTAGAACAAATCCTCCAATCACTTGAAGCCCAAAAAGCCATCCAATCAAAACAAGCACAAAGCCAATCCATATTCTCCAACTTCTTCATCCTCCCACAGTACTCCCCCGCCGCCGCCACCTTTTCCGGTGGCCGAATCCGAGCGGCGGTTGCTGACGTGGAAGTCACGATGGCGGAAAGACATGCCAACATCAAAGTGCTAACAAAGGCCCAGCCTAGGCTTCTCTCCAAGATGATCACTGAATTCTACTCTCTGGGCCTAACTGTACTTTGCCTCAATCTCACCACTTCCCAGCACATGGTCCTTTTCACTTTCAGTGTCAAGGTAAGTTTTATTTATTTATTTATTCTTATGTTTATAATTACTTCTTTTAAAATATCATAATATAATATTGGACACAAAGAAACATCTCCCTTTTTTTTGGTGCAAAATCTGTCCAAAGAATTGTATGATATTATTGTGTGTGTGTGTATATATATATACACTAATTGTGTTTAAATCATTGGTTTTGTGAACAGGTAGAAGAAACTGTTCAAGTGACTTGTGTTGATGATATCGCAAGTGCAGTGCATGAGCTTGTCCGAAGAATTCAACGTGAAAATTGAATTCAAAACTTACAATATTTTTTGGAGTTAAATAATATATATATACTCAATATTATTTACTATATTTGGAAAATGAAAAGCTCGACGACGGTCAATCATGCACCTTTTCCAAAATAAACTAAAAATAAAAAAAAGGATTGGATTTATTTGCTTCGAAATTAGACGTCGATGTTCGAATACATGGGAAGCCTATAAATAGAAATGCATCGGGAACATGCGGCTTTTACCAGATTTATTATAGGAAGAATTGTGATATTTATTTATTTATTCATTAAAAAGAGGAAATCATACGCACACAGACAAAATTATATATATATATATATACACACACACACACATGACGGTACCATATGAATGGATCAATGCATAGATCCATTTGACGCGATTTGAATATTATAATGATGTAAAACCAAGGATAATTAAGGAAATGCATCAATTCAAAAAAATATTTAAGAAAATGTTTGGTACACTTAACCAGGAAAAAAATGTTTGGTACATTATTTTGTAATAGAGTAATGATATGTAATGCCATATCCTTTTTTTTTCTAATCATCTTTAATTTATTTTACTATATAGTTCTGTTTTTTTTTCTTATTTTACTATTTCTAATTTGCCCCTAATGCTAACTACTGATATTAAATCCTAAATTCTCAATCCTATAACCTAAACTCTACTCCAAACCAATTTTAACTCTTACACATAAATCACAAACCCTAACTCTCGAGGTAGGATTTTAAGTTTTATGATTGGTTAAGTTTAGAGTTTAAGGTTTAGACTAATTAGTTTTAGAATTTAGAATTTAGAGATTAGGGTTCACGGTTTATAATTTATTGTTTAGAGTTTGGCGTAAATTATGAAAAGTAAAATGATAAGATAAAAGAAAAGCAAAGAAGTCTTACATGAATTTCCAAATGAGTAGGAAGTATATTTAAGAGGATATATTTAGCATGCCTAAATATCTCTGTTTAAGAAAAAATTTGGATGGGCTGTATTTGGGCTACATGGATCATAAATAAAATTAGTTGGGCCTGTAAAAGGCCCATCCATGTTAATAGTTAATTGGGTTACCTAAAAACTACTAAAACATATTTGTGAAACTTTGTTTCATAAATTATAATATAATAGCCCCACGGAATCGATCGCTTTTCATTGTCAATTTGTCACAAAATATAATGCTCGAAATTTTGTTATTTAAATTTCAATATTAATTCGAATCACGATATCAAAGAGCATATATAAGAATAGAATATATGGTGGATCGGATTACTTTTGTATACGAGGGTGAATGTATGACATTTGTTTTTTTTTTTTCTGATTTAATTATTCAATTAATATTTTGTTCTAGAAGGTTATAACATGGAGAATTTAGTGGAATTAGTTACTTTTTATTTTAATATATGATAACCAGCTCATCAACCAAATCCTACATTTTAAATATAACTCAAACCATCTTTTATATTTTCGCTTTTTCCGGTGTGTGGGCTTTCCACTAACCTGGGATAAACAACGTCGGAAGATCATCATCACTTATATAAATGATAATTTTGGCCCAACAATTAATAATATTATAAATATTCCAAGAAATGTAATTGCTGTTCGTATATAATATGGTTTGCCATCTTCTACAACTAAATAACGATGTAGTTTAATCTATTTATATGTCACATTAGATGTTTTTTTTCCTTCTCTAACTTTAGAAAAAGCTACTTACGAAATTAGAATACGAAATGTCAAAAAAAAAAGCTTCTTATAAGAATCTCTTTTAGTTTAATCTATTTATATGTCACATTTGATTTTGTTTTTTGTTAGCTTTTTCATACTATTGCCATTAATTTTAAAACATGCCCAATTGTTGGATTCCTTGTAACGCTTGTTGTTTAATTAGCCAAATTTAAGCGTTAACATCTAAGGCAAAACGCTTTTTCCCTATGGAAATATATTATATTTTAGATGTCTCCTTTATCCAATCTTAAAATATTTATTGCATATACATACGTATCTGGTACGTGTGAATTAATACGATTATCAAAAACTGTAATGGTTGTTGTTGTACATTTATTGCTGTTTTTATTTAATATATATATAACGGATTTTATGGTAAAATGCATCTCGTATTTAATAAAAGCCATTAACGTATTTGCCTGCACTATTACTAGTCGTTAGCACAATTC